GCAATTCGTTACGCGGTTTTGTGGCTTTTTCCATGGTTCATGAATGCTTTGGTTACATTATTATTTGCGAAGTTCCGTTGATTTACTTGGGGGCAGTCACGATTAGCGATTTTCGAAACGTGGAGCCATCAAGTCGCCTTCATCTTAGTCAAGTCACCTTAGCCCCAGCGAGACTACTGTAACTTGAAATCTTCCCTCAGTTGCAGTTTTTCAAACAGGCGAATTCATTCCCAGTACAAATGGATCTTGACGACAGGTTTAGTGGCGGTGACTCCACACCGGGAGTGTCGTATACAGTTGTACTTTCCATGATGCAACATCCAGAGGTTGTATACTGTCTGGTTTTGGAGACGATAAGGTATCGCACAACTTCAGTAAAGTCTCGTCAACCTTGTTTTCAAACTACGTTGTTCCACTAGTGGGTGTCCGCTGTTATGGCGCAGAATTGTTGGGTCCTCTCATGCCGAGTTCATATCAATCCTTCATCTTCCAGCGAATTCCACCATTCCCTTCTCTTTCAAAGTTCACGGTGATGATAAAATTAGGTTGCTTAAAAATATTCACCAAAGGTTTCTACCTCCATCCGAAATACGAATATCGTGAGAGAATTACCGTTGAGATACTAGGTACCCATCCGGAATTCCGAATGCACTACAGTGAGAAAAAAGCCTCCGGGAATTTGCTGCTTCACGGTGTGATCCATCCAGCCTACCCTTGCAGTCCAGACAAGTGCACAAAGATGTGCTCAACCGAAATACGTTTGAGGTAATCCCACTGAGGCTTAGATTTCACACTCTATCGAAGAAAATCAACATCGCGGAATCACACGGTCAAGTCGATTGCATCTTCGATCGGTTAATTCTCTTCAAAACACAGTCCAACGCCGACAAACCTTGGCTGGAAGATAACATAATATCAAACTCCAAACATCGATACTGACATCCATAGTCAATAGGAAAATGTTTTTTTAACATCAGCTTACTTGCCATCTCGTGGTGAGCTGAGATGGATAGAAAAACGTAACATTCTACACGTTTCTAAGAATTCTGAAGTCACTTTATGGAACCGAGCTGCGTACATCCAAAGATAAATCTGTTACAGACAATGCACAGAAGTTCGCAGTGTATCAAGAGTAACAGTTTAGTAAGGATCTTGTCAAGCATTTCACAAAAATCAGCGGCCTTCTGGTCAGAGCATGAACACTACCGTTTGATCAGCTGATCAGCAGTGTGATTGGCTCTAACCTGGACGAGACATAGCACCACTTATCCTTCAGTCATGGAAGTTACATCACCTGACCGGCTCCTCGAGTGACGATTTGACAGAAAGAAAGTTTCACTCATCTTGTGAAATTGTTTTTACCCTGAGCCACTTACACAATGGTGGTGTGAGGAGGTGTGACAATCTTTAATACGCATTTTGGATCTTTCCAGATAAGCCCCACCAAAAAATTAACCCCCGCCACCCAAAAAAGATTAGAAAAAAGAGGATATGAAATTTGTACTTTTAGTTTTTATTGAGGAGGGTGAAATTGGGACTGTCATTGACAATTTGAATGAAAAGGTTCGTTTTTCGGTACTTTGTCTCCAAACGAACTCACACAAGTAGCAGTCCATAAAAGATCAGTGTGCTCCGCATCGGCGTTTATTCTGCATCATGTAGGCGTGCCAAAGAGATTCAGTGGCTTGTGTGTGAGCTCCAGTCGTTGAATCCACAAAGTTCCCGGTATGATTAACCGTTTCATGAGTATACTTCATGTCAATCATCGTTTCAATTCCTTAGTATGATGACCCCATATCGGAGATGATGATTGAGCCGGAGCGATGCAGGCCTGGATTGTGTCCGTCAAAGTCGCCGCAGTTCGATTTGGCACCGCATTAATGAACACCTGTTTAGTTTCCCAACAGATCCCTCCTAAAATCCACTGCTGGGAAAGGACTCACGCTGCGTGGTTTTTACAGCGAGATCGTTTCATCGATTTCGACGTATAGACCTGGGCCGCCGATAACTGTTGGAGTCTGCAAAAGCCGCCAGGCGCATACTTCTCGAAGAAAGTTCTTCCAGTCAACGGCGATCGTGTGGCTAATAGATAATTCCTCTGAGCAGAATTTGATTTCTGCCAAATTTTTAGGACCAGCAATAAGTGAGTAGAATTACTGTCCCAAACTCCATCCTAGACCGCTCCAGCCAAGTTGCCTTTCGAAGACCGATTTCTTGCCGACACTATCGGGCAGTACACCTCCACCTGTCAGAAACAGTAGAAGGTGTCATTTGGTGGGCATTGTTGAATAAACGTTGCCGATGGATCACTCCGTGGCTTTGCAAGAAACCTATTGCCGTCTCTTTTCGTGAACGAGAGTTGGAAGCGTCAGACAGTTCATTTAAGGTTTTACGTCCGAACGGAGGACATTTTTGCACAAAATGAGCCTAGATGCGGATAGGGAATTGTTTTCATGAAAAATAGGTCAAGGTTGTGTGTCTCCATAAAATTGGAGCTGGCAAAAAGTGGCGGGGCTTAACTTTTCGCACAAGCACTTTTTGCATTAGTGGTGGGGCTTATCTGGAAAATATTCCCCAATTTCACGTTGTAAGTGAAGCGAATCTGTACTGCTGTACAGCTGTACTGGACAGCTGCTTCATCCGTATTAGAAAGCATCAACGATGCACATCTCACAAGAGTCTCGAATCCTCGACCTACCGACCTCCTTAGGGAACAATTTGGGGCATAAACACATCAGCTTCACGGTTTCCAAAAGTACACAACAAAACCAACTACATCAATGTCTAGTTCGCTGCAGCACAAGTGGTTGTCAAAAGTCTTGAATCCAGTGTGTGGTCGGTTGTAAGAGGATGCCACACGGGACAGTTCCCGGCAGCAATTTTAAAAGCAAGCCTTAACATTGGGTACGGACATATTGCATCTGTTTGCAGATGTGTCTGTGGAAGAAACGACGAATTGAACTTTTGTACTTTTGTCCAGCAGCAATAAACGCAGCTTGATATGCCCTGCACTTGAATAGATGGATTTTTTCCAGTGTGCACAGAATGCCCTTTTTATTACCGGCAAATCGACTGGGTGAGTAGGGTACCTGTTCAAACCTTTTTGGAAGAAAAAGCAAAAGCCTCCCTATGAGAATTCACATCTTGGATGATATCTTGACAGTCTATGTACCTTAAGTAGAAGCGGTGAAACTCGCCGGTAGTAGGCTATCGCAAAGTTTTCATTAGCTTCATATAGTATCTGCGTCAAGAAAAATGAAGTTTTTTAGTTTAAGTTGATCCGCACAAATCTTGGGATCGTACACAGCGAAATTTCAGGAACTTCAGCTTTGTGCTAGGCCAGAGGCTTATTCATACAACCAACTCCCTCCATGCGCATCAGCTACATATGATGTGATCCAACTTATCACGCAGGGACCAAGGAACCAAATGAATGAAGAACCCGGAATCTAGTTGTATGTCGCACCTGTGCTTCTCCCATTTCAATAAAAGTACTATCCAGACATTTTATCAAAACCGTCACAAGTTTTACAGGCAAAACCATTCTTTGACACTGATATGGTCCGTTTTTTACAGCGATTTCCAGGAAAAATGTGGACTAATTTTTTTCGTCTTTTGGGTACTCAGAATCCTCATTCATCATCATCATCATTGTCAGCTGTAATAACCACGTACTCGTCGTAGAGAGGTTGTAGCTGCCACAGTTTCGTTCACCGATGATTTGGGGGGTGGGGGGGGGTAGGGAGCTGCGCAT